AAAAGACAGGTCAAGAAATTCAGGTCAAATCAAAAGGATGCAAGTTTCAATGTATCATTCATGATCACTGGCTTTCTGAAGGCAATTCTGCCTGTGCAGAATGTGCCTTTCTAGTAGGCACAGAAGAGGACACACCTTCTCCATTTGTAGAACAAGTCCCAGCTATCCATTTTGACTTCCCAGCAATTTTGAAAGAGTCCATCAAACCACTTTTTTCCTCTGATAGTTAAAATTGCAGCCCAGGATAGTTTGGGACAGTACAGATCGTGCTGCCTGCTGTGCCTCAGCAGGCAATGGTGGGTTTCTGTCTGGAGTTTAATGGCCTCAGTCCTCCTTTGGAGTCTCTGGTGCCAATGGTTCAGAGATCAGCCCACACCGGGGCTAATTTTCCATCCTGCTGCTGGGCAGCACTGCTGAGGCAGCCAGGGATGGAAGGGGCTCTAGGAATTCCCTTCCCAAGTCCAGCTGAAGCTCAGGAAGTTTTTTGCAGCATCTACATCACCTGGCAAGGTCTCCAACTTTTCCTGGCTTCAGCTCAGTTTCTGCTCTGCAGGAGATGTTTGGCAAGCATTGAATTGGAGCAGCCTGAGCTGTTGGATCCTCCTGTCACTTTTTGTCATCATGTGCTATGTCAGACACCTGCCAGTGATGGGTCACTATCTAAGTGTTCAGAAACAGGAGAGGGATATAAGTGAACATTTTTAAGCTGGATGGAAACAGCAGCTTTAATTTATTCAACATTTTGGCACATGCCAGGGCAGCTCTGACAGCATCCTCTGCCTTTTAGTGATGCTGGGTAAGCACATGAATCTTCAGTCTCTTACTCATTTTTCACCTGCAGACACCTAAGTGTGTTGCTTCCAGCATCAGCTCTTGTCCCTGTAAAACCAACAGCCTGTCTCTGAGTCTTTTGCTTTGTAGTAAATGATATTATTTATTTCGTAGTTTAGTGCACGTACATTTCCCTCTTTCTCCCCTCCCTGTTTTGGAGAGCTGAGTGATCTAATAACTTGAAGGTGCACCAGGGGTGTATTCCTCTACTCAAGAATACAGTATAGGAGAGAGGCAGAGTTGTCTCCTCGGGGCACACGTACAAACACCGTGTCCCTGATGGTCCTAGCCGTGTTTGGCAGCGGTGCTGCCATCGCCCTGGGATGGCTCAGTGCCACAGCTGAAAGGGAAAAGATGACATGACAGCCAGTGGGGGTCTGAGCAGAGTGGTAGCTCGAAGCTATTGCAACTTTATTAAGGTGTGCCACCCTTATTTATAGGGTGGGAGGGGAAGGTTCCAGAGACCGGGGAGGAGCATGGGACAGGCAGGAATATAGACCAATCAGAAAGGAAAGGAGGGAATAAGGAAAGAGTGGGAGCCAGTAGGGGAAACATCTGCAATGCAGCAGATTATAACCAATCAGAAAATAGGTAGTAAACATGAAGGGAAAACTGTGAAAACATTTGACGTAAACCGGGGTACATTTATAACTTTTGTTAACAATTCTGTTCAGTCCTAGTCTGTAAAATAGTCTCAATCTTCATAACTGAACACTGCTTAGAATCCATGTCCTCCTCTGTCACCGCTTCAGCTATGGTCTCTCGCAGCTGCCTTCTCCACCTTGCAGACTTCTCCTTTTCCTCCTCCGTGCTCCCCGCAGCTCAGAGTTTCCAGCTCAGACTCAGTGCAAGGGTTGCCTGCACGTTTCTTGCTGCATTCTGCTCGCACCTTTGGCTGCTGTGAGCTCCATGTGGCTGCCTCGAGTATGACCTCATGCCTTATCTGGTTCCCTGGTGACCCAGGTGCCCAGGCTCCGCTTTGGAACCCCACTGTTGCCCAAGGAACTCGGCATTTGGGTGCTAGGTCTGGGGTCATGGGGTGGTGGTGGGTGGCCCTGATGCTGGTGCTGGTCCCCTGGCGCCCTAGAAATGCTGGCCTGTGGCTGTGGGTGGCCCTGGTGCTCTGCCTCCCTGGGGTGCACTCCTGCCTGCTCTGCTTTGGGCCCCCCAAAATGCGGGAACAGCTCTGCCGTGAGATTACTGGGGCCTCTGCCAAGAACCCCAAAAATAAAAAATGCCAAGAGGACCTTGTTGAGGCTGCTAAACCACTTGCCTCTGTCGCTGTGGGTACGTCATGGGACCCCAGGGACCCCGAACCCAAAAAGGATCCTGCCCAAGAACCTCCATCCTGACTGGCCCTTCTTTTCTGTGGGTCCTCTATCCCAAGGGGGACCCCTACCCTGAACAGCACCCTACAGTCCTCTGGGATTCCCCACTTCAACCGAGGCCCTCACACTGACACTGACCAGGATCCCAGGAAGTTGTGGACCCCAGGGACCCACCCCAGACAAGCATCCTTGGGACTCAGAACCACGCCAAGGCCTCCACAGTCCTGATCTGGACCCCAGGGACCTTTGGGAACCCCAGCCCTGCCCAAGACCCTGAGAATCACTCAACCTTGACCAGGGACACACTGGGGACCCCTTGGCCCTACCTAGGACCTTAGGAGTCCCCAGGGATACCTGACCCTTCCCAGTAACCCTAAACCCTGGTCAGAACTCTAGGAATCCCCAGAAACCCTCCAGACCTTACTGAAACTCCAACCCTAACCCTGTATACTGATTCTAGTGTCCCTGTACTGGTTCCAGGGGCCGGGCAGCATGACGAACTTCGAGACATTGTCTTGGATGCTCTGTATTATGTAGAGGAGCAAAAGAACAAGAGTGAGCAGGGGACATGGGACATGGGGCATAGGATGTGGAGGCCTTGAAGGGGCATGGGGTGGAGGTGAAATATGGAGGTCTGGAGGCAGTAAAGGGATAATCGGGGAATCCTGAGGTTATATGGGCTTCAAAGTATACAGTTTCTTGGGGGGGTTGAGGGGGTATTTGGGAATAGATGGGACTCCAGGATGGATATATGGGGTTGAGGTGAGTTGTACGGGGGATCTGTGGTGTCTGGGAAGGGTTTATGGGGATGCTGGGGAGGACACATTGTCTCATCTGGACATCTGGGTCGCCCCAGAGCCCTTAAACAAGTCCCTGCAGGAAGCTGTCGACACAATCTGGGTGAAGCTGAGCCGGATGACAAAAGGTATGGGGCCAGTGGGGACCTCCACCCTGGGAACCCCAGTCCTAGAGAAACTCCCAGGGACTCCATCTGGGCTGGACAAGGGCTGAGCCCTGACAGCTCATCATAAGGATGTGAGTCCCCAGTGTTCCCCAGTCTAACGCTGCTTCCTCCCCACCAGTTCCAGCCTGCGTCCCACCCTGTGGTGAGTGCCTGTCCCCTTGTCTTGCCCTTCCTTGTCCCCTAGTACATCTCCCACTCCCCTGGGACCACCAAGTCTCTCTTTCCCAGGATTCCAGCCAGATGCCCGTGTCTTCCGGTGTGCTACCTGTCACTTTGCAGACTGCGAGTTTCCCCTGGACTGCCCAGGTATGGGACCATGCCAGGTTGTTGCATTAAGAGTAAGGAAATCTTCCCCAACTTACCCCCTTTCTTAGGTTATTTTTATACTATTTTTAATATTTTGGCAGAGCTTGAGTGACTCCAGCCATGCCTTTGGTACTGACTGGGGGCAGATGGTATCACTTTGCTTTTAAAGATCCAGGCTAGAAAGATGCAGAGCATGCACTCAGCGAGGAGTGGTTGTACATTGAGGGTGGGTAGCTGTTGAGATGGAGGTGTGTTTGGTATTATAATGAGATGATAATGAGCAAAGTACCTCCGAGGGACAGGATTTCACCACAAAATTAAGTAATTGCTATCTCAGCAACAGATATTCTGAATGGAACGGGATATTACCTCTTGTTTGGCAAATGCCATGTGTTGTATCAGCCCCACTGAGTTCCCATACCTGCTGTGATCCCAACATGTGTAAAGTGATCCTTAAATACCAACTACATTCTACCCTGGAATTCTACAGCTTTCTTTAGGGTGAGGATGTAACTTTAGCCTCAATAATTTTCCCCCAGTAATTCTTCCACCCAGACCCAGGCACCCAGGCTGGGCTCACCTCCCCCCCAGAGCTGGGTGCCCCCAGGGCTCTGGAGACACCCCGTATTTCTCACCTGTGCTCCCACCCTGAGCACACTTGCCAAGGTGTTCAGCTGCCCATCCCTGCAGCCAGCACAGGAGCACCATCCCCTCTGTCAGGGCACACCCAGATGTGAGCTCACGTGCCTGGCAATGCTCCCAGTGCAGGACCTGCGGACCTACACGGACGAGACCATCGTGCTGCTCTGTGACGTGCCCTTCTCCTTCCCCGGCAGCCTGCCCGTCACCTGGATGTATGTCCCAAATGTGAGTTGCACGTGAGCGTGGAAGGGTGTGAGTAGACATTCTGGGGAGGGCTGGGCACGGGTGGCCAGGCCTGCACACACACACAGCTGTTTGCTTGGCGTGAGGTCTCTCACGGGTACTGCTGCCACCATGTGCTGGAAGTAGCAGCTGTGAAAGCACACACAGGTCACTGGTGTGTTTGCAGGTCCATGTGTGCACATGTAGAGTCATAAAATTACAGGATGGTTTGGGTTGGAAGGGACCTTAAAGCTCATCTCATTCCACCCCCTGCAATGGGTAGGGACACCTTCCTCTAGACAAGGTTGCTCCAAGCCCCATCCAACCTGGTCTAACTGAACAAGTTATGTTTCTTTAAAAAGGAGCCTATGCATCAGTGAGGGAAAATGTTAAGAGGTGATTTTAGATAATGGATGACGGGTAAGCTCTGGGTGATGTCCATGTGTTAGAAAAACAAATTAAAAATTTAGGGCTTTTGATATACTTCAGTGTTCTCAGACCTGGAGGGGGAAGTTAACAAACCCTGGAAGAGAAATTTACTGTTGAGAACTGAACACCAGGATTGCAGAATTTATAAACCACAAAGACATGTTACATAAACCAGAGATGCCCTGTCTGGGAAAAAGATAATTAAAAGACTGAAAATGTGGACTAATTAACATGAAAAGCAAGAAATCCATAATCAATAGAATAATAATGCATGAAGAGAACTATATAACATGTAAGCCAATGAACACTACATCTTTTGTTTGCTAAAATGTGTAAATAGTTAAAAGTTTTCATGACTGATGTAAATGTGAAGCAATACCCGTGTACCTCAGCACTGAATAATGTCAGCTTTCTGAGTAGAGTGTTCATTTCCTGGGTTTTGGTGACACTGGGCTTGAACACTTTCAGGAATAGGGCAGCCACAGCTTCTCTGGACAACCTGTGCCAGGGCCTCACCACTCCCACAGGGAAGAACTTCTTCCCACATGTGCAGGAAATGACTTTTGTGTCCACCGTGGTTGTGCATCCCTGTGTGCACACATGGGGCACAGGGAGAGTGTGTGGGACAGGAGGTGTGTCCATGTGCACCAGCACAAGAAGCATGAAGGGGACATGTCAAGCACGTGCAGGACACGGGTGCCTTTGTTTGCACACGTGTGCTGTCCCGTGTGCCTGGTGGGTTGTGCTGACGGATCCCCCCCACGCCCCAGCTGCGCACACAGGACATTTCACTGTTCAAGGAGCTGAAGGGGAATCCAGAGAACCCCTCCAGCCTGACCATCGAGGAGCCCGCTCCAGGAACTGTTGCCTGTCGCCTGGGGGAAGTTTCCAAGCCCTTTGTCCGCAAGTTCTTCTACCTCAACGGTGAGCCCAGACACCTGAGTGCCCTGGGGGCAGGGAGCAGTGCAGGGGGGAGCTGAGCCCCAGACACCCGGGTCCGTGGGATGGGGGTGCTTGGGGGTGTGGGCAGGGTGCGAGGACACGTCAGTTCATGGTGGACAGGTGAACTGGAGCAGGTGTTCCCTGATCCCTGGCTCCTCTGGGGGCGGTGGGGCATGTGGGATGGAGCGGGGACCCCGAGACAGTGAGGTCTGTGGCTGGGGCAGGTGCTGCAGGGCCCCGTGACCTGAGGTGCTGGTGTCCCCACAGTGTCAGAGGGGAGCGTGGAGGAAGAGAGAGGGCTCCAGGCTGTGTTCAGTACTGTGCTGCACTGGCTCCACAACGAGACCCCCCTGGTTCCTGTACCAACAATGGGGCTGGCACTGGGAGTTGCCTCCATGGCGCTTGTGCTGCTGGTGGTGTGAGTATTGCTGACCTGGTAATCTGTACCCTCAAAGTCCCCATGGCTTCTGGGGTCCCTCGCAGAGCAGCAAGGGACTCTCAAACCTCACTGGATTCTCAGTCGCTTGGGATTCTCTCCAAGTGGGAGGGGACCCAGGTGTCCAAGGATGGGCCATAGACTGCCAGGACTCCTAAACTCACAGGGCCCTCCATGTCCCCAGGACTCCCATTGTCCTCTGGCCCATTCCAGGATCTCCCCCTTGCACCCAGGATCACTCCAGGCTGCCTTGCTTCCCACAGATTCCCTAATTGCCCCTGAAACCCTGCAACTTTCCCATGTTTTCCCTAGAACCGCCACTGTCCCTTTGGGTGCCCCAGTTACAGTCAGTTGTCCCAGTTGCCCTCAGGGTCCCATTCCTTTACCCTCAGAGCCATCAGTTGCTCCAGGGGCCCCCCAGATGCCCCTTGAGCCCCCCAGATGCCCCATGTGTACCCATTGCCACCCCCACATCCCCTGATGGAAATATAGGGTGTCCTCCCTGCTTCCCCTCTTTCTTCATCCCTCCTTCTGTCTCCCAGGGCCCTGTGGCAATGTGCCCGCTGGACATCCCGCAGGCGTGAACAACAGGGAACCCCGGAGGATTCCGGATCCCCGGATTCACCCTTGGGACCTTAACACATGGATTCATCCCCGAGGACCAACATTTCTGCATTTGGTTTTCTTGTGCTGGTTGTGCAAATGAGAACAGTCTAGAAACATAAATACAGAGTTCTGAGAATCTGGATTATGCCGGTGGTAGAAATCTGGGGTTCTTTGACTTGCAGACAGAAAAACTGGGTACCAGGCAGCATTTTCCTTTTCATGGGTGGACATTCCAGCTGCAGTTGGAGCTGTAGAGCTATCAGTGCTTGTGATGATGATGGTGGAGGAGCCTGAGCTGTGGCCCCCAGGCTGCAGCCCAGCCTGTCCTGCCCCAGCAAGGACCTGCTGGGGTCCTTCTGCAGGTGTCCTCCATTTCCCTCTGTGTGCACCCAGATCTCCTCTGTTTCCCTCATCAAATACTCAGATCTTTTCTGTTCTTTCTAGTGTCTGCTTGTGTCTCCCCTCTGGGCACACTCACATCCCTCTTTTTCATGACAAGTACCCTCAGATTCCATCCGTTACCCTCCACTGGTGATCAAATCCCACTGTCCATTCTGTGGGTGTTCAGTTCCTATGGGTTCCATGATGATGTCCCTCCCAGCCCCTCTGTGCACCCTCATTTCCCTCCACTTTCCCTCCATGTACACTTAGGTCCCCTCCGTTCCCCTCATGCTCAGATTCCTGTTGCTTGCCCTCCATCCACCCGGTTTCATTCCAGTCCTGGGCAGACACTTGCTTTCCTCTGTAGCCATCATCCTGCATGACCAGTCCCCCAAACCCAGTGCCCAGAGGCCACAGCTGTCTCATCTGCTGTACAGAAATCTTTCAAGGCCATTCAGCTGCCTTCTTGCAGGTCAGGACTGTGGCCCACGGGTGAGTCAAGACTTCCTCTGCTTCCCTTAGATGGAAACCCCTCTGCCTGTGTCCTGTGCTCCAGAATGCACCAGCTGCTCCAAACACTGTCACACAACTCCCTGCAAGTCTTGGGGCCCCATCCAGAGCTGGGCTTGACAGGAGCAGATTAAACAAGAGCCCCTTGACCTGGCAGCACCTGCTGCAGTGGTGGGAGGCAGGGACAGCCCCGTGTTTGCTCTCCACCTGGTTGGTGACTGTGGCGTTCAAGTGTTTGTTCACTGAGCTACACTCTTCAAAGTTCCCAAATATGCTTGTTACCAGGGGAAATTCCATCCAAGTCACTAAGCACTCACAGAAGAGACCATTCCAAGGATTCTTGCTGGCATGGGGATTATTTTCTTTGCAGCTCAGGGACCTGTGCACTCAGAACCACAGGCACCTCCACCTCAGCTGGTATTTTCTGAGGGCACAAAGGAAACCAACCTGATCTCCTCCTCCAGGAGAAAAGGGGGGCAGGACCCACTCAGCCCGCCCACTGCAGGAGGCACTACAAATGCCTCTGTGCAACCGGCTGCTCCAGAGCTCTGTGCTCCAAGAGCATTCCCACCTGGAGCCATGGGTGAGTACAGGGCTGGGAAGGGGGGGGGGGCCTTGCCAGCAGTGGGGGGAGCACAGGTAGGGCAGCCCAGCAATAGGGAGAGGCTCCATGCACATTGATGGGGAGCAGTGGCACCAGTGCCCTCCTGGGAGCACCAGCAGCTTGTCCCCTGCCTTCTGGCTCACCCCAGCCAGTCCCCTGCTCCAGGGGCCAGGAGTGAAACTTGGCTCAGTTGGTTGTTGGGTGCTTTGCTCCACCCAAAACCACCCCGTGCTTGACTTGCCGGGAGCAGATCAAGGGGGAAAGGCAAGGTTGTCTACCCCTTGGGCAAGCCTTCCAGCTTGCAGGAAGCAGCCTGATGCTGCCCAGCATTCTTGGTGCTCTCCTGCACCTCACAGGGTCGTGTTAACTGTGGTGCTGGAGCCATGGGATGTCCAGTCTCTCTGCAGGGAGGGCCCTGTTTCATCTTTTCTCCATCTTATCCCTTTCTAGTAGCCCAGTGCCTTCTGCTCCTTGCTTCCCTGCTGCTTTTGGCTGCTCCAGGCCACTGTGTGCATATAGAAACCCTAAACATCTTCAAGAAATCTCCCTCCAATGCTTCGGCGAGTGCTCTGAAGAAAACCAGTAGGTAGCATCCCATGGGCATCTGGTGTGGTGTGCTTGTGTACAGCCAGCTCTGGGTGGGAAGAAGCCCTGAACCATCCCTAACCCCGGCCCTGCTCTGGGATGGAGGATGGTGGAAATGTACCTAGTGCAGGCTACAGTGTGTGTGTGTGTGTGTGTGTGCACTGTGCAGGCTGGGGGGGTGGCTGTGTCTGCTTGAAGAGGTCATTTTTCTGCTGTTCCCTCGGTCACAGGCAGGGGCAAGGTCCTCTTCGCCTTCCTCCCAGCATGACCCTGTTGTAGTGGCACAACCCCTTTTTCAGGAGACCCAGAGGAGCCCTTTGGTGCCCATATTCAGTCTCTTTGCCTCGTACCAGCATAGCCCAGTGGGTCTGAGACCTTTTACTGGGGCTTATTCCTGTTGGTGTTCCATATTGAAAAGGAACAGAGGGTCGAGGCCAACCCACTCTCACCTCCAGACCTCTCTAGGCTGGGAGAGCTGATTATCCCCCAGGTGCTCTGGCAAGATGTCCCTCTCTCCTGCCCCTGGGTGAGACAAGGTCTTGTCCTGTTGTACTGGCTTTTGTTCAGTCCCCTTCTGTCCTGCTCCAGGTTGGCCCAGGGACTGCAGTGAGGTCCCTGATGGCAGCTCCAGCGGTGTCTACATCATCCAGCCCTCAGGATTGCACCCCATCATGGTGTACTGTGAGATGGGTGGGGATGGGGGCTGGACTGTGATCCAGAGGAACCGGCAGGACACGGATATCACCTGGAACGAGTCCTGGAGCACCTACAAGCACGGCTTTGGGAATGTGCACACCGAGTACTGGCTGGGTACTGAGAACATCCACCAGATCACCAGGCAGAAGGTCTACCAGGTCAGGTTTGTCATCTGGGATGCTTCAAACAACAAGAGGTTTGCAGACTACAACCTGTTCAGCCTGGACGATGAGTCCCAGGGCTACCGGCTGAGGCTGGGAGTGCACTCGGGGACGGCAGAGGATGCCATGGACTCAGATAATCCCAGGAAAGTGCACAACAACATGAAGTTCTCCACAAAGGATCGGGACCAGGACACTTACAGAGGGAACTGTGCCTCCCGCTACGGGGGCGGGTGGTGGTACTCGGCGTGTTACTCCGTGCGGCTGAACGTCAAGGGGAGCATCACGTGGGGCAGGCTGTGCAAGGGGAACTGCAAAGCCTCTGCCATCCTCATCAAACCAGCTCCCTACCACTAGAACTCCTTCCCTCTTCTGTCCCCCCTGGGCACATGGCCAGGCCAGCGCCCTGCTGGGGCCTGTTTGGTGATGGGGGGCTGGGGGTGAGTAGGGCTGTTCCTCTGTATCAAGAGCTGCTTTGTTTTCCTCTTATCCTGAAAAGTAGCAAAGTTCCCTGCTCTGTCTTTGGCCATTCACCTGCGGTGGGTTTTGGGGGATCATTATTAGCACACATGTTTATGAATACTGCAGTGTCCAAGCATTTTCCTTCTGGGGACAAAACTGTGCTCAGAAGCTTAAAACCTTCCTGGTCCAGCAAGGTCTTACTCTCTTTCTGCTTTGTGGGTATAGATGTTTTCAGTAGAAAAATATCCATCACTAGCTAACCTGACCTACACTGCACTGAGCCCAGGGCAGGCTGTACCTGCACCACAACCCTGCTGCAGTCTGTATTCATCCTGCCAAATAAAATCACTTTCAGATCTGCATAGGTGTCCTTCATTTGTTTGGGAACTCCTTGCAACTGCTCCCAGTTTCCTGCCAGGAGCAGACCTGAGGCTCCTGGTGCAGCAGGAAACTGTTTTCAAAGGGGAATTTTTTCATAAGACTCAGGCGAGGAGTTAAAGACAAATCTTTCACTTAATGGAGAGAGTTGGATTCCAAGGTGGGGATCTTCCAAAAAGGGAATGCAGTAGCACGTGGTCAGTAGCAAGCACTGAGGGTGGGAGGGAAGCATCAGGTCAGTTCAGCCCTGCCAGCCATGACCTGGAGCTCACCAGAGACCAGAGGCCAGGCCAGCATCATCCTACCTTATTAACCTTGTGAACAGTGGGAGGGAAATGGGAGAGTGGACAGGCAAGAAAGGAACAACAGCACTGCAAGGCCACACAGCAGCACATGGTCAGTATGTCTGGGCATGTGTAAGATCCAAACCTGACATGGCAGGGATCCCACAGTTTCAAGTTTTTGGATTAGCTTGGGTCTTTATGGGTTTGCTCCAGTGTGGTGATTTCTGCATGCACTGGACAGCTCAGCAGTGGACATGGTGCCTGTGATGTGGTCTCCCAGTACTGAGTAGAAGGAGTCTCCCAGTGCTGGGAGATGTCCTGCTGGCTGCCCTCTTGCTAACAGAGCCCAGGAATGCAGCTCAGCATCACTCAGGATCAGAGTGCTGTTTACCAGCAGCCCAAAGCCCTTCTGTCCAGCCTCTCCCCTCACATTAGGTTGTATATCCAGGCTGGAGCACCAATAACTTTTTAAACCAGCAGACATATCTCTCAGTCCAGAAATGTTACTCTCAAGTCAGCTCCAACTGGGAAGCCTTTCTCAACCAGCAGCACCCTCACATACCCCCATCTCCCCATGCAGCAGTGCTGCCTGCCCTCAAGTGCCACCAGGGCAGCCAAGGAATGCTCCTCAGGAACTCCATAGCTCCTCAGGAGCACAGCACTGCCCATAGCTCTGCAGGGTGTCCTGGAACTTGAGTCACAGACCTTGCTTGGCTCCAGAGCCCTATGTTGTTCAGCATTCCCAGCCACAAACCTTGCTCAAGCTCAGCTTTTCTCCCAAAGACTGTGGAGAGGAACCATGGGTTCTTTCAAGCCCAAAGTTAAAACTTCCCTCCATTCCAAGGGATCTCCACAGACACAATTTCCCCTTGGCTGCAGGGAACAATGGGACTGACTGACACACATTGCTCACACCCTCAGAGGAGCCCACTGCCCTCTGCACTCTCCAAACTGTCGTGGTTTCTTCCCTTTCCCAGCACAGAACAACCACCTAGCCGTGGACAGTGGCAAACTGTGAGTGAGGGGTTTGCAAGGTATGGGCTTTGCTGGTCCTGTTGACTAATTGTAGCCTTACAGCCACAGTCCAGTGCTCAGTGACTGGAACAAATAAATTGGAAAGAATATTGCCTAACACACTTTAATTTTCCCCAGGTCTGCCTCCCTGAAGACTGGACAGAGAGATCCCCCCACACCTGTGTGCAGGTAGACACGAGGCAGCACAGTCTGGCTCCAGGGTTTATTGCAGCTGATTCCTCCCACCGTGGGTAGCAGAGCTGTGGGGGGAGCGGGGCCCGGAGAGGGAGCAGGGCCTGAGCAAAGCGGGGTCCACCGACTGCGCGGGGCAGGGAACTGGCACCGTGTCCCCCTCCCCAGGACGGGGGCGGGCGCACCCACCCCAAACCAGTGCCTGTGCCCCAGTGCCGGCCAGCACCGCGGCACTGGGCGGAGCTGCCCGTGTGCCCAGGGTTCCAGGCGACGGCTCCTGGGCCCCAGAGCTGCTGTGTTTCAGTTGGTGAGGGTACAGGAGCTGCGGGCAGAGCAGGACGTGCACTGGGACTTGCAGGGGACAGTGGGCAGGCAGGGGAATGGGGCACTGAGCTGGGGATGGTGGCACCCCTTCACTGCCGGGGTTCTGGGCGCTGCAGCAGGGTCAGCACACGTCTGTGGGTTTGACCAGGATGAGGGAGGATGCGCAGTCACCGCTGTCGCAGAATCCCGGCCAAACGATGTAGTTTTTGGCATTGAGCAGGACGTTCTGGCACCTGTTGTACCACCACCCCCCATAGCTCTTGGCGCAGTTCCCGCTATACTGGTCCTGGTCCTTGTCGACCGTGCTGAACTTCATGTTGTCGTGAATGCCCCCCTTCTTGGGGTGGTAGAGGGTCAGGTAGTCGTCCCCATCGCCGGAATGCCGGCCCAGCCTCAGTGGGTACCCGCTGTCCTCGCTTTCCACCCTGAAGATGTCGTACTCGGCGAAGTGGGTGACGTTGGTTTTGTCCCGCACGACGAAACGCACCTTGTAGGTGCCCTGCTGGGTCAGCAGGTGCAGGTACTCGGTGCCCAGCCAGTAATCGGCGTGCACGTTCCCGAAGCCGTACTTGTAGGTGGTCCAGGATTGCTTCCAGTTGAGCTCAGTGTCGTGAGAGTTTCTCTGGACAACAGTCCAGCCCTTGCCTTCGGTGTCCATGTCGCACCAGACCACGCGTGGGGGGGACCGAGCCGGCTGGATGACGTACACCCCGCTGGGGCTGTTCTTGCGGAGGCGGCTGCAGTCTGGGGGGAACCCTGAGGCTGCAGCAACAAACACGGGTTGAGGCGGGAGAGAGAAGGATCGTGAGCCTGTCAGGGCAACGAGGTGCTCCTGTAGGGCGGTGAGAACGCAGGACAAAAGGGGGTGGTTCTGCCTGCGGCTTTTTCATTGGCTCATCCTTGGGGAACCCAGAAAGTCTATCTAAGCCAGTGACCTCTGTAAGAGCCCTGGAATCTATTTCTTATGGTTTGCTGTTTCATTTAGAGCCTTCGTTGGACATCATTGGCATCTGGCCAAGGAAAGAAGGGGAGAAAATCTTCCAGATGCCAGTGGTGTCCTTCAAGTATATCTGGCCCACACACAACATCCTTGATATACTGAGACACAGCTCTTGCAAGGACCAGAAGTGTCCAAAGTGCTCCACTGGATGGCGATATGTAATGAGAATTTATGTTATCCCTGGGGGTCATGGCATTGAAAAAGAAGGCTTAGTTCTGCCGTGGTCTCATAGGGATCTCTTCTCCCAGCTTGTTACAGTTTATCTGATCTGTCATGACTCACTGGACAAACTAATTTACTATCTAATTCGTTTTTCTTGGTTTGTGTCTGATAGGAGACAATTTGCCATGCGTAATTCCAATTCAACCCCTGAAAATCTGTTTTACTCAGACACTCAGGTCTTGCAGGAACTGTAACCCTCCCTTACAGGGAATAAGGGAATGCTCCTCATCCAAGAAGAGCAAAACAAAAAAACAAATAGCTGGGAGGATCTCTCCTAGAACTGATGCTCACAGTCATGGCAGAACAATCCTGCCAAGGTGTTTGGGCAGGAACCTGTTGGTTTCAGCATAGACCCACCAAAGGGGTGAAGGTGGCTTGGCAGGAGTCAGGCTGTACAAGCCACGGCCCTGGGGCCTGTGTGTGAGGGGTTCCTGTGCCGTGCATCCCCCTGGGTGTTTGCTGG